GTCATGGAGAAAGTAAAGACCCAGAGGGCAGTGCAGGGAACAGGAATTGGACTACTTCTTGCCAACATAGGAGCAGGGACCTGAGAGAGGACTGCACAAGAGCAGCAGCTTCCACAAAGAGGCTGGGCTGTGCTAGATCTACCTGCCTTTGCCTTTGACGGACCCTCCATGACTTGTCTGGTTGGACACTTTAAGGTTGTCCTGATGCACAGGAAGACTAGCAAGTATGGCAGAAGACCAGCTTGGCTTAGTAAGGAACTCTTCAGTAAACTAATCACAAAAAGGAAGCTTATCATACATAGAAACTTGGACAGATAACAAGGGAAGAATATAAGAACATTGTTTGGGCATGCATGGATGAAGTCAGGAATGCTTATAGGAATAAAGTCAGGAAGGCCAAAGTGCAGTTGGAGTTGCAGCTAGCAAAGGATGTGGAGGGTAACAAGAAGGGTTTTTACAAGTATGTAAGTAACAAGAGGAGAATCAGGGGAAGTGTGAGGCCCTTACTGAATGGGGGAGAGAACCTTCTGACTGAGAATGCAGAAAAGGCTGAAGTGCTCAATGCCTATTTCACCATGTGGCCAGATGGGATGCATCCAAAGGTACTGAGGGAGTTGGCTGGTGTGACTGCAGAGCCACTGGCCATCATCTCTGAAAACTCACGGCAATCAGGAGAGGTCCAAGTTGATTGGAAAAGGGCAAACATAGTGCCCATATTTATGAAAGGGAAGAAGAAAGATCCAGGGAACTATAGACCAGTCAGCCTCACCTCAGTCCCTGGAAAAATCATGGAGGAGATCCTCAAGGAATCTATTTCTAAGCACTTGGAGGAGAAAAAGGTAATTAGCAAGAGTCAGCATGGATTCAACAAGGGCAAGTCATGCCTGACCAACCTGATTCCCTTCTATGATGAAATGAATGGCTCTGTGGATGCAGGGAGACTGATGGATGTGGTATTCCTTGATTTTAGCAAGACTTTTGATACAGTCTCCTACAACATTCTCGCAGGCAAGCTAAGGAAGTATGGGTTGGATGAATAGACAGTAAGATGGATAGAAAACTGGCTGGAGCACTGGGTGTAGAAGGCAATAATCAATGGCTTAATGTTTAGTTGACAGTTGGTACCAACTGGAGTGCTCCAGGGGTCAGTCCTGGGACTGGTTTTGTTCACCATCTTCATCAACGATCTGGAAGATGGCACAGAGTGCACCCTCAGCAAGTCTGCAGATGACACCAAGCTGGGGGAAGGATTTGAAATGCTGGAGGGTAGGGCTGGGATTCAGAGTGACCTAGACAAATTGGAGGATTGGGCCAAAAGGAATCTCATGAGGTTCAACTGTGTGCAGGACCTCCACCTAACCCAGGTGATGTCTAGTCCCACCAGGGGTAGTGCATTGCTCGACCTGGTCTTAGCAACAGGGAATGATCTCATGGGGAACATGCGAGTTCATGGCAGCCTGGGAGATAGTGACCATCACTTGGTCGAGTTCACTATCCAGCGAAGGATGGGTAAAGTAACTAGTGGGGCTAAGGTGTTGGACTTCAGAGGGGCCAACTTTAGCAAGCTTAGAAGGCAAGAACATAGAGCATATGGGGGTCCAGGAGGGTTGGAGGTATCTCAAGGGAGTGATCTTTGGGGCTCAAAAGGAGTCTATCCCATTACGTAGGAAGGGAGGTAAGGGGGCAAAAAAGCCCCCTTGGCTGGACAGGGAACTCCAGGAGAGTCTGGGGGCAAAGAAAGAGATGTATAGGCAATGGAAGCAGGGAGCAGCCACCAAGGAGGACTATATCTCCCTGGCACGCTATTGCAGGGAATCAGTTAGACAGGCCAAGGCGGGGCATGAGCTCAGGCTGGCTTCAACAATCAAGGACAATAAAAAGT